CTATCGTAGCTGTTGCACCAGTCATTCGAGTCGGCTATTTATGGGAAACTTATTTTGAGCATGTACTAGAGACGAGGATTGCGTCAGCGCTCGGAGTGAACTTGACTCAGCTCGTATCAAAAACGAACACTCGGGTCCAATCACACACTTCGTGCCCAAAAACATGGCGACCACCAATGTTGCCTGATGGGGTTTTGAAAAGGGTGTATCAGGAATGGCATGAGCTGTACGTAATGGCAGTGAGAATTAGGTCGGCATTGGACCCAAATAACGCGGAACTTTGTGAATGAGTAATTTATTAGAAAGTAATTTATTGTTTGTGCTGTTATATTTATCTACGTATAGTGTAAGCTCCTTGTTTGTGTGTGCATGTGTGTGTGTGTGTGGAGACCAGCTGGTCGCTTGTGACACTGTCCTTACCCAGATCTCAAGCTTTGCTTGCATGTATATGTAAAAAATAAAACATTTGGGGGATTCTCAAGCTTCGCCTTTAAGAGTAGAACGCGATAACGTTAACGGGCCCCGTTCGCAAAGCATTCTCATTCTGAAGCCGTGCAAGCGTTTATGCGTGCTCAATAGTCTGATACAGCTTAAGAAAGACAGGGGCAAATTCCGCTCAAAGAGGGTAATAGCACCGCTCGAGCCAATGCTAAAAAGTCTTTTTTGTGGCGTAATAACGAACTTCTCTCAAGATGGCAGGGCTTACGTAAGGTGCTCCACCGCGATCACGGAGCGTGCAGGCGTAACAGCCCCACCTTTACCACGTTTCGTATTCTAAATGCAAGAGAACGCTTTTACTGAAGCGCATATTGTGTTGTAAGGGAAGGGCTGCGGGCGAAAGTGGACAGGGCAGTAGCCGCACGTGAACGGCGCTGAGTGGTGGAGTGTGAGAATAAGAGAACGACGACGAGACTACGACGGGACACTCGGGGCTTGTGCTTGGGCGAGTCCTGAACTTTGAATTTTTTACTGGGTATGTTTTAAATCGGAATATTATGACGAGAGGAAAGAACAGTAAGAGTGCTCATAAAATTTCGCTCGAACAAGTTTGTTGCGCGGAATTTTGGTCCTGGAAGTGGTGATAAGGTTTTGTGGGAGGAGCTACGTCCCGTCATTCTTAACTTGTATCATACTATAGTGGGTAGCATCACGTTTCACGTGACGTAACACGTTGCTGTGATGTCATGGTCCTATCGACCCGATAAATCGACCCGATAAGCGAAAAATGTACGGCTATATTTGGCAGGAAAAGCTTTCGCTAAATTTTGCGGGAAAGCTTTTCGCTAAATTTAACAAGAAATGTATTTGCTAAACTGCGGGAAAATTTTCCTATAAATTTGGTGGGAAACGTATTCGCTATATCTATCGGAAAATTTTCACACGAAATTCAGCGGGTTATGCCGTCACAGCCACTTTAACGTCACGTGTGACGTCACACGTGGCTACGGGCATTGCATAATGGAATTGTTTGGTAATATCGACGCCGACGCCTGATTTTTTTGCGACGCGAGCTCCTAAACGCTATCGCGTTAAAATTCTAGCCAGCTGTCATTGTCATCTCATTAGGAGCCGCCATGCTTTTTTTTTCACATCTTCCAGTTGTGGAGGAGGCGCTCCTGCACTTAACGTGGTTTTCCTGGTATTAGCACAATTTATTTGTGCACACAATGGGTTGCTGTTTAGTTTCGGTTAAATGAAGCGGAAAAAAAAGAACGGCCGCGAAATTCTGTAAAAGGAATTGTTAGCAACTAGGTCGCTAGACTCGTCACTCAAGCAGTCGACTTGGTCATCCAGGTCAGTGAACGGTCTTTAGCGAAGACGTTGTGTGAAGGGTTCGTACTGGACTTAGAGCAGGTGATCAAATTTTGGTTCTACGACGCCTGATTTGTCGGGACTATTGTCTCTCGGGCGAAACTATCAGTACGCGTGAAACCTCAAATATGGCGAAAATTTGGTAATTGATCACGAGTTCACTAAATGGCGTTTTTCATTTTGCATGTAGTCTTTATTTAGACTACGATTTCAAACCTTATTTTTTATTTTCACTTCTTGAGTCACGTGTGAGAGTACAAAATACTAAGTACACACTATTCAGATGGGTTTCGTCCTAAAACTCCATAGGTTTTCGCTACACTCAAGAATCAACACATTTGTCACTGATAGTAGTAAGAAGAGAGGAGGAGGTTCTTTAGGGGAGTCATTTACAAAAGTTAGGACATAAGTGCATGCTTTTCTTGGCGTTTTGACCGAAACTAGATTGACCCTAACAGTAGCAGCTCGTGAGCGTCGACTATCTCAGAAGCGTTTGAGACGATGCTGTTGCTGGTGCCAGCTATGGACGTGGTCTTAGGATCCAGAACATAATCCCTAAAACCTTCTAAAGCACCCTGAAATTTTTTTTTGTACCCTGCACTCGACAAACAATGCCGCCCGACTCCTCTCGGCTTCTGTGCCCCACTCCTCTATGTGATGCCTTCGGGCCCTGAGAGACATAATAAACGAAATGAAATGAAATGAAATGAAACGCCCGGCGTGTTTCGTTAAATTTCCTTCGGCAAGTTATGTTCCTATTTCAGTATCGCTGACTGAAATAATGAGGCGAGTATCGATGTGTTTTTATTTTTATAATAGGCTTCTTTCACGATCACATTAGTTCCCGCTAACGTCGACAGCACGCCCTATAGGACCATCTTTCAGTACCGGGAATGCATTTTTCCAGACCAGATGCACCTAAGGGCCTTGATCTGAGACATTACCACTTTACGAGATTCCCTGACATATAACTATGCTGGCGACATTAAGATATATAGGCTACAAAGGGTAAAAGGGTAACACACGATATGTGTGAACAAACACGGCCCTCACGACCAGAATACGTAATTTGGCTTATGTCAAAGATTATCTTTCGAGTGGTCCTTTTTAGAGACGTTCTGCGTCTGAGAGAACTTTACTCGCACCCAACCAAAAATTGCATCTGTATGCTCGCGTGAGCGAGCGCGCACTATTGTGAGAATTCGCTTGCCCCCGCCAGCAAGCAGGCCCCACGCGGTCCGTCGCAAGTCCGTCGACCAGCCGGCAAACGATCACCGACATCGGTTTGTTTAAAAGCCTGGTTACTCCGGCATTTCCTTCATGGCCCTCGATTGGCCTGGAAATTAGCTAAACACACCAAGAAACATCGCTGAAATAGTATCCAAAATATAAGACTGGAATAATTTACTTTCGTGAAGTTATTGAATCCACAAATTTCGGTCTTCACCGTGTTTTTCAGACCGAGAGTCTATGGTGGCAACCATAGGAACTATTAGCAAACCGTTACCCTGTTCCGCTTACCGCACTAACGGAGCTTTTGAAGCATGCTTTGGAGCGCGCCCCGCGGTCACGGTATCACCAGGGCGCGCGCTTAAAAGCATGCTTCAAAAGCACAGGTAGTGCGGTACGTGGAACATGGTAAGGGTTTGCTAAGAGTCCATAATAAAAAGGTATCGTTACCGTTGAATTTAGCGTTGACCTTAACGTTGAATTAGGCAAATTTAACTTCACGCGCAAGCTGCATTCGCTTGCACGCATGGGGCATCAGCCGGAACCTTATGTTGCACAACAGCGAAGACTAGAAGCGCGAGCTCATAGCGTTGGGAGCTGCACCTGGCGCACGAGAGCTTGTGCCACCGAAGTGTGCCCCAGAGCAAGGAGCTCGCGCTTATAGCCTTTCCTTCGGTACAACATGATGTGAAATAGAGAATAGCTACGAACCCGCGAGGCGTTATCTTCGCGTGCCACACCACTCAAGCGACTGCGCTGAAGGCTGGTTGGCAGAAAACTGTACACAGCACAGTTTTTTTTGTTTTTTTTACGTTATGAATAAGTCATAACATTCGTGTCTGAAATGTCGCTCGCCAGGTCATATCCTTAAACTGGTAGCCATGCTCAAAATCAAGCACAGATGTACCGGTGACTTGGCCGTAAGCAGGCGTAAGCTCTCGTAACGGAACGTGACGTAAGCGGGGCTGTGTGAACCACACTTGACGGTGTTAGTTTTTTGATAGGACCCTGTATCGAGAGGACTGATGACATTTTCTTAGGGAGCCAGTGTCATGCGATAATTCCTCTAAGAGCGGCCGACGCACGTCTTGCGCATGCGTCGCAATTTGCACCGACGTTAGTACGTAAACCTGCCGCTGAGTGACGTCTTCATGCGAAATCCACGCGTAAATATATCAAAAATGTGACTCTTAACACTACTCATATAATTAGAAACATATAAATATATTGTTATGAGCTTAACCTCAGTGTTCTTCGAATGGACCGATCTCACCAGCCAGTTTGGTTACGCCGCCGCTGCCGCAATGCATCGTGGGAGCTTCAGTCTTTTTGAACGTGCGATAACCATGCTGGAGCTTGCTGGAGCTTGTGTCGAAACAGCACATGCACTCTCGTGCACTGCCGCAGGGGGATCGGTGGCCGAGTGGTCTAGCGCACACCATCTCGGAGCACGTGGAGCGAAAGCTCGCGCTGCAGAACCCAGGGATCCTGGGTTCGAGCCCCACCCCTGCCCGTTTCGATCTGGGTGAGCATCGTACCGGCGTGCGGTCGTGTATCACTACTGCGTGGTGCACGTTAAAGACCCCAGGCTAGCGGCTGTACCGCACTGGCTAAATTTCTCATCTACAGCTGGGAGACTCGTCGCCCCTGTGAGGCAGACCAAGTTCTAGGCTGTATAAACACACACACAACCCAATTTTTTTTTTTTTTGCACAGCCGCATGCCTCCTGAGAACAAAAGTTATTGCGGCTTCACGCATGCGTCAAACACTTAGTGAGATCGGTCTATTGAAAATTATCAAGATTGGTTCATTTTTATCTCTAAAAGCTTTGGCTCGGTGGTGCAAGCTGCCGCCCGATTGAAAGGCCTCAGCTATATCCACCAATTCATCTGCCAGCCGATTGGTAGGGTTCAGCCGTATCCAACATCCAGTTTTTTTTATTTTTCGCTTTCGCCAGGAAAACTCGCATATGGCTCCCCTCCTTCTGTGGCTTCAAGGTGGCCCAGGAAAATCATCCCTTTTTGGCCAATTCCTGGACAACGGACCGGTGGGGATCGATGCAACTGGTCGGCTGTACAGGAGACTCCCCACCATTCAGAAGACCATGAACATCATATACCTCGACGAACCCGTCGGAGCTGGGTTCAGTTACACGCAAGATCCCAGAGGATATGTTAAAACCCTCGGACAAATGAGCGAAGCCATGGAAAAGTTTCTCCAACAGTTCTTGAGTATGTTCCCGGAGTTTAGGAACCGTGACTTCTACATTGCTGGAGAATCTTACGGAGGTTTGTTTCTTCAAATATCTCATTATTCTCTAGCAATAATACCGGTATATATTTATATACAACAAAAGCAGCTTCTTAACGAGGGACTTACAAGGAGGCAAGCCGCACAGAGAACACGCCCCTAGCTACGCATTTCAGTATTCATTGCTGGTCGAACATTTTCTGCCACCAGAGTGCCTACAAGCTAGAAGGCTTCGATGTCATGTGATTTTATTTTCATCTGCTGCCTACGTTTCACCTGGGACATCTGTGTCCTCACCAAATACATTCATTATTACGATACAACATAGCCGCGCTTCAAGTTAGACCCAATATCCCTTTTACGCCTGACATAACCCTTGTCTCTTCAACTCCTTCATTCCTTTTTTTTGCAGCGAGAGCAACGGTGGGCATTAGCCACCTTCTTCAGACCACAGACCCGGATGAAATTCCATTAAAGCTGAGAGGCGTCATCTGTGGCGTTGGATTCCTTGGACCCATCCTGGACACCATGGACTCGACCCAGTTCCTCTTCTATTCCGGAATGCTGGACGAACGGGGCGCACAGCTGTTTTCTGAAAGGTTTAAACTCCTTAGGAACCTAGTCCGCGCCAACGCGACTGCAGCGTTGGGTCTCCTGACGAAGACCATCGGTGCCGAGAGGGGCCCCAGAAGCCGGCACACCTTTTTCCAGAACCTGACGGGCTATAACTCCCACTCTAGCGCCATAGTAGAAGACCCTCCGGATGAGTTCAAACAGTTCTACAAGTTCGCTGCCACACCCGAATTCAAGCGTGCATTTCACGTCGATGAAGATAGAGTTCTCGACGCACAGCGGGAGATAGTGACCTTCAATTTGGCACAGCAAGACATGCTGGCGGACATCAGCGACAGGCTTCAAGACCTTCTGAATGACCAGAGGGTCTTGTTGTACACAGGCCAGATGGATACTCTTTTTCCGGCCGCCAATTTAGAGAAGTATTTCAAGAGTCTGAGGTGGGACGGGGCTCACGAGTTTCGAAACGCCACGAGGGCGCCATGGTACACGGGCTGTAAGCCTCGCAGGTTTGCCGGTTATGTCGTCTCCGTGCGGAACATGCAGTACGTACAAGTTGCGCGGGCAGGGCATCATGCCGCTTTCGACCAACCGGCAGCAGTGTATGAGATGATGGATAGATTTTTTGGAAACAGAAGACCTAGCTGTTCCTGAAGCCTTTCTTCTTTTTATTCCACAACTTATGATTTTTTATCCTTCAATTATGCCAGGACTTATTTCACCTGCCATAAAACATACAATTTTCTAGCAACCACCTTGGAGTCTCCGCTCAAATCTCGTGTACGATATTAAAATAAATTATACCCATACATTGTTCAGTTTTACATGAATGGATTGAATCACCTAACCCAGGTAAATACACAGTGGTAGGAAAACAAAGCAAATTAGACTGTAGGTATTTACAAAGCGAAAGAATGGCAACACTGGCTCATACTGTAGATGCATTGGTCTTCAGGCTAGGTGGCGCGAACTGACGTCCGTTATGATGGGTACAGCCGTTTACGTCCCTCCATCCATGGAAAATTTAGCCAGTAAAGTAGGACTGCTAGCCTATAGTGTCTTTAACATGCATCACGCAGTAGACACGACAGTACGCCTAAAGTACGCCGGTATGGTGCTAATCTGGATCGAAACCAGCAAAATGTGGGGGTTGAACTTCGGCTTAGTTCGCTAAACTCGTCAAGCACAATGTTGGGGACGAAGTTCGAGGGGCGTGCTGATATGTCTGTCGGGACAGTAGCGCCACGCGGGACGAGATGTCAATCATCCAAGCTCTCACGGAGCTCAAATTCTAGCAAATTTGTGAAACACATAGTTGTAGCAAGCTTCATCGGAGCGCGCGCGAGCAACATCATGGGCACGGTGTAAGATACACTCTTTAGGTGAGGACACGGCGGGGCTGAACGCGCGGCGCGAGGAATCAGGTAGTGTTCGTTCGACGGACATCCGAAAGGCTGCATCATTCCGCGGCCATCGCAGAGCCGTTTATTGGGAGAGTTCGGCCAATAGGCGGAGCAAAGGCCGCCGCCGGCGCCGAATATTCCCCCGCGCTTAGAGCGTAAACAAAATTTGTGACAGAGCGTCGACCAATCAGGAGACCGCGACGTCACAATATTGCAAACGACATTTAAAGCGTGAAATAGAAGCGTTCAATCTCGGCCTCTCTATTCCATCTCACAAATGTCTGCAGTAAAGACAAAAGCACAGGCGCGTGAGCCTAGCTCAGCAAAACGATTTTGTTTGTACGAGAACTCGTGCATAGGAGGCACTTTCCTAAATCACGCGATCGTGCCCATGCCTTTGTCTGCACTGCTGATGTTCGTGCAGATGGAGTATAGCTGACAGTTCGCTCTGGGCCGGTTTGCTAGAACAGCGGCTAAGCTGAGACTGGCTGAAAAAAGAACAGTGGTGGGTCGCGCGAGCGTCTTGAGACGCGGAGTTCCGCTCGGCTCGTGCGCTGGCTTTGGCAGTGCTTTCTTTCCCCGTCTCGGCTGAGACGCTGTTTCTAGCAAGTCGGCCCTGGTTTGGAGCACACGTTCGTTTATACTACACTTGAATATTGGCGTGACTAAAACCTCACATGCACAAAGTTTTCAGTCACCGAGAGCTAAACCTTTTCACTCTAGCGACGCTAAAACGGCTCAAATTAGTCGTGTCACAAACTTAGAGCACACGACCATCGCTAGGGGCTGTTTCGCGGCCTGTGATTGGCCCCGAGATGCTCGCCTATTCAAACCAATGTATAGCCAGACTCTCTCAATAAACGGCTCTGGGCCACCGTGCCCGCGGCTGACAGTGTCGCCGGCGGCCAAACGGCGAAACTGTGTGAGAGCGAAAAATATTATCTCGTTGCCATGACAGTGACACCCCGGTACTCCGTGGTCTTTCTGCACGAGCAACAACCTCGCTAGAGCTCGGCGCGTGTGGAGCATGAGGCGGCACGAGCCGTCTTTGCCGTGCCCAGGGGTCGACGAGTCATCTGCCGGCGCCACTTGAAACCATAGTGCGAGAGAGAAAGACAGAGAGTGAAAAGCGAACTTTATCTGCACGTCGCGAGGAGCGCGCTGTCCTGATCCGTGATCATGGGTAACATCACGGCTGCACTGATGATTTCGCGCCCATGTGTGCCTACATCCGAAAGCCACGTTAGAATCAATACTGTCTAGATTGTCCTTAGGCAGGCTGGGAATACTCTGAACTTTCTCGTCGCAAGATCGTCGTTTGTGGAAGTTGTCGGTGACCACAAAGTGACGTTTCACAACTTTAGGAAGAGGTTATTTGAGGCCGAAATCTTCGCTTCGGAATCGGGGCGAAGATTGAACTTCGTGGCATTGTTGAACTGTGTACGGTGTACACGGCTCTAGAGCTCATCTTCCGCCGCTGTCAGCAACGCTGCCGGGGTCACCCACAAGCGGTGTGTGAAGTGAAGTGTTTCAGAATGGAAGGGGCGACGGGACATGGCGAGAAAAAACCGGGGGAAGGGAAATAAAAATGGATGCTTCCAACACACACACACACAAATATAGGGGTAAGGCAGTGCTGCACGCAATGCTTGAGAGAGAGAGAGAGAGAGTGAGAGAGCGGGCTTCGGAAAGGGGGGGGGGGGGGAACTCAGCACAGGAGACGCGCTGAGTTCCAGACATTGTTGGGGCTCGGCTATTGTCGTCGTTGCAGCGATTAAACACGGGCCACTACCCGAATGCATGTCGAGGCATCGATTTTCACGAGCCCAGATCGAATGCGTACGCAGTCTTTACGTCCACTGTGTGAGCAGCATTTGAATATCGTCACCGCAAAGCTCGATGACGCATTCCCGGGGACCGTACTGTTGCCATTGTCCCCACAGCTCCGTCATCAAATTTCCCGAAGGGGCAAAAGGCGGCTTTGGAAGGAGAGATTGAAAGAAAAGCTCCGCTTTCATCCTTTAAATTCTGCAGCGACGAAGGCGCTTCTTGGTCAGTGATGTTGCATTCGAGTATTCTTGGGCCCCGCCAGTGCCAGGAGGCTGGTGTAAAGTAAGAAATATTCCTACCCAATGTCGTTGCACAGTCCCTTTAACCAAGATCATGCGCGCTGTTCACTAGAAAACGTAACGCACAACTAAATTCGGTCCGAGCAGGTCATTTTTAGTGTACGCTATACTATTGCATATTGCGTACGTAAGATCCAGCAACGCTATACTAAAACTGTCTATTATTAGTAATCTTTATTGGCTCAGGAGAGCCGTGGCACCGCGGAAAGGCGACAGCCCGTACCATGGAGGTCCGCGATGCCACGTCTAGTGATGATGATTAGGAGATGATACAAGGGGAGGACGACGACGTACACATGACAAAGAGGAGTCGAGAATGCTGAAATGGAGCTCGAGGGCGTCGTTGCGGGCCGATGCTGCGGGTGATGAGGGCCCAGTGCCTTCAGTACCGCCGAGGGCCTTCATCGAATGGTCCACAGCGGGCCATTCGATGTACGTTCTCAATGGGAAAAGCCCTGGCGGTTGACGGTGCGGCCGCCCGCTTCGGTGAAGGCAGCGGCTCCAGGGGGCGGCCTGGTCGAGGCAGACGGCTGCCACCCCCGATGCATTCATGTCCAGGGCCAGAACGTATCGCCGCGGCCACCCGGTACAGCCTCCTGTCATCGTCGTCGTCGTCGCCCTCCTGATAGAAAAGGGTCGATGTCTTTCAGTTTTGCCTTCGCAAAAGCTTGATGACGTAATTGCTCGAAACCAACGTTATATCAAAGCCACCCGCCTGGCGACAATCGAGCTCGGCTCATGTATTGGACACGAGAACTGTGTGAGCACTCGACTTCGCCCCGTAACAATCAATGCCATGGCGGACACTCGTGTAGTGGCTTATGTGTAACCACTGCGGTGATTAGAATGGCCGAACTTTAACAATGCCTAAAGCTCAGCACGCGTTTTCTACACCAAACCGCAAGGCCGCTTGCTCTGGCTCCGAGTTGAGGGGATGAATGATGCTCATATTAGTATAATTGTTTAGCCGACTACCACTGCTTAAGAAAAAAAAATTAGGCAATTTTATTAATTTATTCACGTTAGGGAGTAACTATAAGTAGTATTCAGCGAAAGTAGAAAAATCGTTTCATGACTCCTTTAAGAACTACAAGGCGTGACTAGTCCCAAGCACATCATTATCGCTCCACCGTCAATGAGATTACAGGCACTCGCAGATAAGAGCGGCCAAAGAAAAGATCACGCCGTAAAAGACATGACAGTTTGCGCTCCGAGTGAGTTTACCAAGTTTATCACAGCTTTGCACCTAGCATTCGTAGTATAGACTTGCGTTTAAAATGTCGAAGGGTATTTGTTGCAAAGCAATAAATTTTCTGCCCCCAGAGGAGGCATCAGACACCACATTAGAAAAGGACAAAGTTCCCACCCTTCAAACTTCCATGATAAAAATATAATTTTTTTTAGAGCCCAGTTGCGGTGCTTGCCGTTGCGCGCGTGGTAGACTGAAGACAAAAACGAAGATTTCCAAATGGGTTCAATGAGGGATGGCTGCCTTTTTTCAGACATGATGATTACGGCGGCTCGTCAAATTCGCGTGGTGCAGACTGATCATCACGATGTGACCCTCACGTCGCAAATGAAAACCAGCAGATAACGCTAAATGTAACAAGTAAGTATCATATGGCTTCAACAAACAATATGGTGAGTGAAGAAACCTAAGGGCCCATTCACACAGGAGCGCTTGCTTATGTATTCTTACGTTATGTCTGAACGAAAATTGCCGGTCATTCGCGCTTCAAATGTAGCGAACAAAGCTACCTTTGAATTGGTTTTCACGCTTCCTAAAATGCAAAGATGTACCAATGTCTCGAGGTAGTAACTAAACGTAAGCTTCAGAAACGTTACGCAACATTAGCAGATGGTACTGTGTGACCAGGTTCTTTTTTATTCTCGGCACAGACGTTGTAACAAACGTCTCGATAAACGGCTTACTTTACAAGATAAAATACAGTTTTTGGACAGTTTCAAGAAGCTTTCAGATGCCCGAAAACCTCATACTGTATAACGAAAGCCTAATTTTTTATGTGATACATTTGATGTTACGAAGAAAACATTTAGTGTCTACCCAAAACTTTTAGTTCAATTGTTATATTTACATCATTTTCAGCCGAAAATCTGGCACCAGGTCCTCCCTCCACCAAATTCGAAAATGAATATATTTGGCTCAATTATAAGCTTTTTATTGCTAGTGATGATGCCGCAAGCAAATTTTCAGAAGCCATCCTTGACCACGTGAGCATCATTCTAAAGTTTTACTTTTTTTTCATTACAACCTTTTTTGTCTTGAGTTTTCGAAATTCCTTTAACACACTGCTACTTGTTATACATTTTGAAGCTATACTCGTTGTCACATTAAAAACAAATGTTTTGCGCAGTATTCATGAGCTGCGCGAAGAGGTTCTTACCATATTTGGCTGCCAAAAAAATAAACGATAAACGATGTTTTTCGCGCTTGAGGGGTGTTCTCCTTGATAAAATATAGCAAAGAAAATCTAAGATGCACCTCCTATATCTTAATTCAACACATAAATGGGAGATCTAGTAATGATCAACGAGTAGCCGGTCTTATTTTACTACGGTTCTGGAGGAGAGTACGGGTAGAATTATTAGAAAACAGTAAGTAAAAGTTGAAATAAGCGAGGTCAAAAAAGACCGTATTAGAAATAGTATGCGCAAAAAGATTTGTTCAATCTGACTGCGACTGAAGAAGACATAACTCACATGTTTTTTTCCCAACTGTCGACTCGCTCAATTTCGCTATATACCAGTTCCCATTAGTAAATTGTATAATACGTGGTTTTCATATTTGTTTTGAAATCCCCACTGCCCTCTTTAATGTATCCATCCAAGCGCTAAGAATAAAATGAACGGAGAAGCTTCTTTATACTGCAGTGCCTGGAACGTAGTTATCACTGATATGTTCACCTTCCATCCCGCCTTGCATTAAAAGTGGTCTCGAAATGGCAAAGAACGACGTCAAGGGGGCCGTCATAATATGTTTTTGGATGTCGCCATCTTGGTGGTTGATCGTAGAAATTCGCGCAAAAACGTACGTGCGAACGCAAGGGTCGCTGTCGTCGCAGGCAGGGCGCAGCGTCCCCCCTTACAAAAAAACTGCCGTGCTTTTCTGTTGAAAGGCTGTTGAAAAAAATTCATCACAGGAGGTAAAATGTCATGAGCTTTTCATCTTACTTTCCCTAACTTTTCTGTTGAATTTCTTTTGAATATTGACCCACTTATTTCATAGAAGTCAACAGACGTTTTTCCGCCTCCAAGATGTTTTTGTAACTTTTAAATTGAAAAGCTACAGCTTTTCAATTCAAAAATGAGAGCCGTATAAAAAAAAAACAATTCTTTACACCTTAGTTGGTCATTCAACAAACTTTTGGAGGCTTACTACGGCTTTCCACTCTGCTCCAAATGGGCTGTCGCAGAATAACGTTATATATATATATATATATATATATATATATATATATATATATATATATATATATATATATATATATATATATATATATGTAAATAAGGGAATGGTATTCTTGTGGTAAGGTGTGAACTGGGCCAATTGGTTGGCGTTATACGTGATGAAGAAAACAGCTCAGAAATCATGGACTATGAAGAGAAACAAACACGACAGGACAGCATTGTCCTGTCGCGTTTGCTCTTACATCCAACAAATACACATCAGAAAGGAACACGAACACCATGAAGCATTCAACACGTGAATCACAGCCCCGTTGACGGCTCCAGAGCCTCATATAGCCTATATTATGAAGGTAATCATTTGGCCAGTGACCACATCAGCACTTAAGGTTCCAAGTGTTCGTTCTCCTTTTCGGTAGTCTGCCAAAGGAAAAACAGTGTTTCGAAGTTTGTGAATTCTATCTTGTTCTAAAAAGCATTGGTACAACTAATAATAATTCGGCGCAGTCGCTAAACAATATCCACAAAAAGGGCTCCTAGGAGAAATGTTATCGCTTCTCTGCGGAGCACCACTCAGTACAAAGCAAATCAAGCAGTTGATCCACATTAAAATAGTTAATTTGCTTTTCTTTTGTAGTTGACTAGTTTAATAGGGTCAACAAAGTCACTATAACCACTTACGAAGTGATAATGGCAGTGCGTGTCTTTCGAAAGCCGGGCCTCCAACATGCCCCCATGCCTTCCGTCGTGCTTTGACCGCGAGCGCGCGCGTTCGAGGTGGTTGAGACGCCGAAGCGTTGTCAAGGACAGAAGGCTCACGCTGGAGACGGGACAAGTGAAGCTCCTCTCTACCGTTCTCACCTTGTCAGAGACTATTGAGGAACTTAGTGACTTTTGACATGGAGTCAAGATATACTATGTTCAATAAAAAGTCAACAGGAAGTCTGTAGCTTTTCTATTGACACTGGCTACAGAGAAGCAACGGGACATTTTCAGCAAACAGAACGTCTGCAGTCTTTCTGATGACACTATCATCAGGAAGTCAGCAGAAAAAAAGAGCATGACAATTCTATCACGTCATAAGGCGGAAAGTTAGGTACCACAATTGAGGACGAGATAAACACACCAGTTGTTGACGCGTCCCAGGCACTTTGTTTATACGTAGAACGCAATCCTCATTTTAGCGAAATTAAATATACAAGGCTGTAATAAGTTAATTGTGTGTCACTTCAGACGCGATCAGACCGGTTTGATGCTGACGCCTTATTTGGAAAAAGGACAAGTCGAAGCGGCCAAGTACCGAAGCCGAGTGATGATGATGAAACAACGCGTCCATAGCGAAGCGTATTCTGGTTACATCACCGTGAATAAGAAGCACCAAAGCAACCTATTCTTTCTACACATCTTAGCAAAGGTATGTAGGATATCTTTGGCACTGTAACTAACAAAGTTGCTCAGGTTGTCTTGCTCTGATACACTTCCATGGGAAATATAATATCGACTCATGTTGTAGTTATAGCTGACGTACAGGGACCGTGAATTTAGATATACTCAAAATTCCCCTCTTTCTTCTGCTCCGCATCTTTTGCGAAAGTATAGTTTTCGCAAGGCTCTGCGGACATCACATCCTCATTGCTTTCTTTGTGCACCATCTCTATCATTATAAGTAACACTATCAAAGATCTGAAATATGTCGTAATACTGTATAATGGCGAAAAAATATTTTGGTTTGTAGATATATACACTTCATTTAATTTTTTTAGATGCCCACGATAGCGTGGTATGCGTGCAGGTTCGTCTACTTCTTGCAAATCATATGTTTTTGTCTAACCCGCGAAATGCACCCATGTGCATTTATTTCCCTCGGCCTCATTGAAAGACGGCACGCCCTTGGATGTCTCGTCATCTTGCTTTCCCTGCTACTTCTTGATATTTTCCTTTGATTGACGTGTCCCTCCATCCATTCAAATGTACCAAAGACGGTTTATAGAACCCTCGCTCGCCGTATAGGAGTATCCCAGCCAACACCACCTAGAATAATCAAAGCCTCCGCATCGCCTCCTCTGTCTTCATGAAACATCATCAAGGGCGGATTGCGCTAACTCGGCTGTTGGGCCCGAGTCCAACCTTCGACGCGCTGACTGAACACGAGCCCCGTCCGAACACAGACGCAGCACTCGTGCCTAATCTCAAGCCTCGATCAATCTGACTGGGATGACGGTGCGGAAGCCTTCTGTTTATCTAAGGGGTGCTCCAGCGCGCTCAACAAAAAATCGGGCTGCATCGAGCTGCATCCTATTGGCAATTGACTGAAGGCCTATTTGCCATAAACTAAAAGCCAATTCTCCATAAGCGAACAACAAATAGATAGTGTTTCAGATACGCCCTGCTTGCAATTTATTTTAGACGTTTGAATTACTCCAAGAAAGGCGTAGGTAAATGCCTAGATAAGAGAGAGAGAGAGAGAGGAGAGACGAGGACGTGGCATAAAAGTGACGTCAGCAGTGTCACATGACATGGTAACACGGCGCCTTCTGTCGCGTGACGCGTCACGCAACCATGTCACTTGAACAACGTAACTTGACCCAGGATGACACCGACTTAGCCGTCCTGTAACTTGGTCTTCGTGCGAGAATGTTGTGAATGATGACCAAAACGGGCTGGAAGCCTTTACCAACAAGCGGTTGTGTGAAAGGCTTTTGACGGGTCACACGATGAAAATAACATGCTTTATATTGGCAATGCCTTCCCACTTTCTGGCTGCCCCATGACTTGGCCCCGTTGCTCCTGCTTCAGATAATCACCGCTAGGGACGTCATACAATGAAGATGGTACTTGTTCGCTGCTCACAGCTACTAGCGCAACGTCTAAGTGATTCTAGTAGTTTCAGAACACATATTTTATAGCAGATGAGGAGCAACACATGTAGTGGTTAAAAGGGAATATATGTAGTGGATAGTAAGCATCAATCAACACGAATGGCATGTCAAACAGACGAGCTCGTAAACTTCTGCAATGTTGAGACAGCGTAAAGTGAACGTTTTTATTAGTGATGCCGAATAAAAGGCGAAGAGTAGAAGGGAAGTAAATGGCTTCGGTTAGGGGGCCTCTGGGTTTACAACCGCTAAAATGTCTCCTAAGCAGTGTTGAAGGTGTTAGCTGTGCTGCGGCTCACATTTTGTATATGACATTCTGTGCCTGTCGTCGGGCACCAGTCACTACCTCGGTGTGTGCAAGAGAAAGAACTGGGATAGTCAGCCAGAGAACCAAAAGAGAGAGAGAAAGAGAGGGAATAAGGAATGCGAAAGCGGAAATGGTAACGTGTATGTCATAGCCAAAGGCCAGATGGTCATCATTAGTTAGGGTGAGGGGACGATGGGATAACAGCTGATGAAAAGCAGCACTAAGAGGGGCCGTGGAAGCATACATGGGCCTATCTAGCTTAGAGGACAATAAGACCCCAACCAAGCCGGGCTTTAAATAAATCCTCAGCAAGATGCCGAGGATTCACTCAAACAGACATTAAGAAAGGTCCGCCTCGAAAGGCCTTCCTTTATGTCCGCCATAAAAAGGTGCCTACTGCATACTCTTGGGCAGCAGGAGATAGAATTTGGGACGCAGTCTTTTCTCAAAATGCGCTTCGTCACTTTCATGGTCCCGGGTGTTGATTAGGGTCTCAAGAAGTGACAGCCCCGTCACCTCGTTTCCCAAGTCAGCCCAAAACATGGCAGAAATGCGGTGGTGAAAAGACAAACTGATTGCCTAAGTACTACCCACAGCTACCACGCCAAGCGCCCAAAATAGCACCAAGAACGCACGAGACAGCCTTAATCACTTCGCTTACGTCGTTCACGTTTTCTGCCTTGTATTTGGAAGCGGCGCACGCTTGTGCTGGCAACTGGCAACGGGAGATTGGGCAGGCATCAGTATCCAGAAGGCTATGACCTGAGTTACCGACTGCTTAAGAAGGTGGCTTACTAGCTTGAATCTTTTTGCTTCATGATTGGTTCATCGACATTCTTATTGGCAAATAGAGCAATATCATTGACTGCGGAGTAATAACATAATTATCCGAAACTCACAACTAACTGCGTTTTCTAAGCAGCCAGTGGCTACAGTCATTATGACAAACTGCGACGTTTGTCGTTCTCTTGAGACTATGGGCCCCCAAAACTCTAAGCAAAACAAAAGCTCGGCCCAACATTTCAAGGTGTATACTGTCCGACACTGTTAGCGCGAACACAACGTCGGCACTTTCTCACATTTTACTCCGACGCAGCTGGCACCCAAGAAGGCACCCTTGCTGCTGTGGCTACACGGAGGACCCGGAAAGTCAGCTCTGTTCTCGCAGTTTCTCGAGAACGGACCTTTAGGAATCAGCGGAAAGGGAATGCTCTACCGCAGGAGACACACCGTCCAAAACTTCGCCAACGTCATTTACCTGGATCAACCCCCGGGAGCGGGGTTCAGTTACACCAAGAGTCCTCAGGGCTATGCCCAGTCTCTGCAAGACACCACTGCCGCCATCTTGGAGTTTCTTCGACAGTTCCTCGTGATGTTTCCGGAGTATCAAAACCGAAATTTCTTTGTGGCCGGAGAGTCGTACGGAGGTACGTTTGGCGACTTTAAAGACATTTGCTTTAGCCCTTCAGGATTCTATTTATTATTCCAGTAATTATTACAATGATCGGCTAAATGTTTCCTTGGTCACGCACTATGTGACTAGGGAACGTATCAAATAACAAGATGCTAAACCAAGTCATCTTGCGTATATACTTTCGCTTTTCGCCTTGTTTTCGACTTCATGCAAGACTAAACCGTAGCACGAAAAGTATTCAAACAAATTTATTCCTACTAGTCGCGTGGGATTCTCTATAGGGACAAACCAAACCAGAAATCTCTTCTTTTATTTTAATAAACTAGGCATGACCACGATTTATACTTTTAAGACTGCTGTAGCTGACATTGATCTCCAGGCGCCACAATACTTTATCATCCTATTCAGGAGATAGCATTACTGTACGTCAAAGGCTAGCGGCAGTATTCTGAAACGCTATTCGACTCCAACTTCACCTCCATTCAGCGGAGTGGAGGAAAAAAGAACACCTTCACTCAAGAGCCTTGGCAGACGCTTCTTGGCAATTCTTCCCCGGAGGAATTCTTCAAGAGTTTGTACTCCAATCCATCTTTCCCGGGGATATCTGGAGGTGATGTTATAGCAGCATGCTTCGCCTAAAAATATAACTTTGATGCAAAATATGACTATATGTGTCCGTTATCTGCAAAAGAACCTGCTTTACAAACACTGAATTGATAAATTTCAAGCTTTTCTCTAGCCAGCGTGAACGTTTGAGTTGTTTTATTGTTGTAACAAACAGAAGGAGGGCGTATTCCAGCCTGTCAACGGTTTGGAAAAAAAAAAAACACCTGCCAGTTTTTTTTTGCCCGAATTTGAGTGGTTCACACAGCACCATCTTCTTCTGTTACGCGTAAGTTACCGAGACATTCGTGTCTCAAACGTTGAGTGCAAGGCTATCTCCATGAACTGGTATCCAGACTTAAGGTGAAGCACACATGTCCCGACTCCCGGTGACTTGTGCGTAAGCAGACGTAAGCTTTCGTATAGTTACACCACGTAAGAAAATGGGCTCTCTGAAGGAGACTTGCATCAAGCCTTTTTTTTTTCTTGTCTTTTCCAAGAGTTGTGTTCTGCTCTTCGATGATTTAACTGGAGCTTGCTAACTAGCCCAGTTCTCCTCTTTGCCATTTTACCAATTACAAGCGCAACATAAAAACAGCAAGACCTGGTGCGGACTTCACGACGGCTAAAATATTATATGTATTTGTGTTGAGGTAAAACCACAGTCATCTGGCAGAGATATCGTAATTAATGGGCTAGTGTCAGTGAAACCCGCATACTCAACATGATAAGTTTAGTGCGAGCTTGGATTTTTTTTTTATTTTGATACTTGTACCAGTTTGCTCGAAGGCTTATGTATGCTCACAGAATGGCAGCTGCTAATGGACATATTAAAACGTATGGCATGTTTATAATGCGGCATGTAGATATGGAGTCAGAAAGAAAAGATAAGGCATTTGCACACGGTAGCCTAAGACCAGGTTTTATTAACATTGCGTTTTGATACAACCGTGAATCACCAGGACAATCATGCTTCGTATATCTTCTGCAGAGCTCCAAGAAATGATTGTTGTGCCTGAAGCACGAGTGCTCCGGTGTTCGCGACTGTAACTTGACGTAAGCTCCCGTAACCTTGTTTTAAAATGTGTTTAGTAATGCATGGGTTGTACGACTTTCACTCTTGCCCAAACTAGGCTAGCGGTCAAATGCTACTGTGTGGATGGGCTCTTAGAATAAATGCACATTTACCTTTTTCACTTTTTCCAGTCTTACAAAGTCGACCAATAAATGTTACTCCATAAGTTGAGTTTTTAAACATCTCACGACGCAAGGTCTAAGTCCGCAGCGATCCAGGGTAATTCGAGAATATGGTGGCGCAACGTGCTGGCAATGAGCCGCGACAATCGCCCAATGACCCGGAAGTCTATGGGTTGGAACACATTTAGCAGACATCAGGTTACCGTGCTACCTCAATGTACCAGCACCGTAGAACCGCAGTACGATCACGATGTTGAGCACTGCTATGAAGCGCAAAATTAAGCTCAAGTGGAGTTTGGAGTCGAGTAGCGTTTAAGAGTTCGGCCGTCAGACGCTTAACAACACCCCCCCCCCCCCCCCCCCCCCCCCAGTTCTCGTATATTAATTAGCCGTCGTAGCGGGTCTCAACCGTACGCCTACGTCGAAAGTCCCATTTACGACACGTAGAATTTATAACGCTGAGTCAAGCATGCAGCTTAACCCTGTCAGAAAAAATAAATGCCACAAAATTATACGACGACAAAAGCTAAGGAAGGTACTTAATATTTTCCCCGCAATAAGGATCGCATTGTTACGTGACACTGTGACATCATTCCAAAGGTGCTTTAAATGCGTACTATTTTAGGACCGCTTTAATGCATCGCCATGCCATGACATCATATGACAGACTGAAGCTTTCTTTTTTGCGCTAGGTGCTTGTTTTGCTATTAATCTGCAAGAGTCTGTATAATCTCTGACGGAATAAAAACGCCAGAAGGGTCTTCCAGTTGTCCCGCCTCTAGCGCTAGCTTCTCATCTTATATGACGGAACGGCGTCTGCGTCGCCAACGAGCACCTTGGTACTCAATCGAAGCGCGATACGTTGGGAAACCGATTTATTCGACTCAAGAGGTAGACCGTCCTGCAGTCATCGAGAGCTCACGAAATTTAGGGTGGGGCATATATTCTGTTCACGATTCTTTCTTTGTTATTGGCCTATTCGGTGTTCTTATTAGCCAATTCCGCAATGTCATTGGCTGAGGAGCGATAATACGATGTTCAGGAGCCGCCATGCCCTGCGTTTCTAAAGTTGTCCGTGACTACACGGCGCGTAAGTTCGTCTGCTTCTCGCACGGCGGTTGCGACGATGTGACAACGCCGAGCCCTTATTGGCTCATTGAAAGAAACAAAATAGTGGGTAGACATTGAGGCATATATCATTGAGGTCTACCCACTATCTTTTCAATCAAAGCCAATCAAAGCTCGGCGTCGTTCTGACGTCACTGCAACTCCCGCGCAAGTAGCAGACGACTTGTTCTCCGTATAGTTTCACTCTGCTCGAAAAGTGGCTCTGAGCACAATCGGCACCAAGATGTAATATAAACATGACAACTGCAGTAAAGTGGTCAGGTGGGCGAGATGGCTTTGACTGGACACGGTTAAAGTTTCGCAAAGAAACACAGGAACAGGAGAGAGAAACACGTGGAGGAGAGAAACAATCCTCTCCGTCGTCTACGTGATTATCTCCTCTGTGCCTGTCTTTTTGTGCAAAACTTGTTCAATTTGAGAGCATTTCAAGAACGGATGGAACAGTAGAAATCGGGGCGCACAATAACTCAGACAGAAACAAAAAAGGCATACCTCTAAAATAACAAAAGAAGAAGATAACATTATACATTAAGGTGTTGTAATTTGACGAGCTCGCCTGCTTGTTCTTTTTTAGGTCACACAACGTTAGACTTTTACAATAGGGGGTCGCGAACGCTTTGGGTCCCCCAAGAAGCTTAGAGCGTCGCACTACGCAGGCGTATACCCCAAGGTACTCGCGAGGCCCCAAGTTGAATAAGGGTCCCCCGGAGCATTGGGTCCCTTTCCTAAAGCACTTATTATTAGGTCATTCATCTAAATGTTCGTGCCCCAATCTCAGGATAGCCCTCCTAACGACAGACATCCATTACCTTGTCTGCATTCTATCTTCTGGAATCAGGGTGTTGAAACCAGATACCACTGTTTTAGGCTTTACAAAAAGAATGTAACAAAATGCCTTACTCTTTACTTGCAAATAAAATGAACGCGACAAAGACCTATGTTACTTCAAAATAAAACGAGTGAATTACCGCTACAGTCACCTATAAAACGTATTGAAGGTTACATTTGCGTTACTTTTTATTTATGAATTAAAACATTTTACTGTTTGGACTTTACGGGTATGCAGAAGCGATATATATCAAAAAACATTATGTCGACGCGAAAACTTAAAACTAACTTTTTTTTTTTACGGTTTCACTTGAATAAGGGGGCAGACGTTTGAACGTATATGCTAAATGGGACGAGTGCAAGAATATAATATATACCTTCTTTTGTTTTCTTGTCATTTTTACGTGAAACACCCTGTATATGTATGTATATAGGTATACATACAGGGTATTCCACGTATCTTGAGCCAAGGCTTAAACATATTTTGGTGCATTTTAGGAAGACGAAACCAAGCGAATAAGTTTGTTCATTGTTCGGAGCAAATTCGACAGTCTTTTTTTTATTTGGCCCAATTGACTAATTAATTTAGATTAATTAATTAACTTCTTAAATATTCAATTTAGATCAAAAGTTCCAATGACAAAACTGTAGAACGTCCTCAGAAACATCCAATTTATCCAACACGATAAAGTGTAGTGTAATCCTTTTTAAAGTCTTGGGAAGGAGTGACGTGGAACATGACTACTTTAGACGTTAGCCGAAATTAGTCACGTTGCAAGTCCTATCCGGTACTGTTTTCAAAAAAGGTGTTAGCGTTTCGCGCAGCGGTTATATAACGAAGAATGGCGAAAGCAGCCTCTCAGAACTTTTCCGCGGGATGAACATTCGCGAAACCCCTCTTCTCCATGATACAATCAGATCAGGCCAATTAGCGTGTGCAAGAAGGACGGCCACCGCACACGATTGGCTGCTTATAGAGACACGGCGTGACGTAACACCTATCAACCGAAGTGCAGTGGGGGACAGCGGGGCGGGGGTGTAGTCGGGCCGGCGGCGGGGCGCCGCGAGGCGGCCTGTAAGGGTGGCCAAAGGTGGGTTTATATTTTGTAATGAGCTTTCCGCAGAGTGTCGCCGCGAAGCGGCGTGAACGGGGGTGGAGGAAGGAGGGGGTTAAAACGCGCCCCAGTGATACACCCGCCGTCCCCCCACTGCGCGGCGCCGTAATTGGCGAAGGGGGACGTCGTCGGCGATCTTCGGTTGCTAGGTGTTACATCACGGCGTCGCTCCCTAAAATCAGCCAATCCAGTGCGGCCTCCATTGCTATGCGTCCTATCGCCAAGCCTCTCAAAATATGCACCCCACCGCCATCTATCGGCGCTTGCAGAAGGAGTTTCATATACAGTTTCCGCAAGCAGTGGGGTTGTGGCGCAATCCCGTGGCCACATTGCGAATTTTATATACGTGTGCTCCAATCGAGTCCCAGGTCGGCGCATGTACCAGGGCACTAATGCTAACGAATTTACGGTAACGAGTGCGTTCTAGGTTAACGAAAATATAACGTATTACCGGTAACGCCGTTACTTGTAACGCGTTACCGCCAATACTTCCAGCGACCCGCACTTCGTGTTCAATGCAGCTAGGGCAGCCATCGGAATCGCGCACCACCTGCAAACCCAGAAGGATTCCGACGTGTCCCTGAAGCTGGGCGGCGTCATCTGCGGAGTGGGCTTCCTGGGTCCCACACTGGACATCGTGGACTCGAGCGAGTTCCTCTACCATATGGGCATGGTGGACGAACGGGGCAGGGCCACCTTTGCCGCCACCATCCAGCAAATCCGCGAGCTGGCAGAGGTGAACCGGACGGCGGCGGTGCTGATGCTGGGCAACACCATACTGCATACGCGGCAGAATGGACGAAGAAGCCTCTTCGTCAGGCTTACGGGCTACAACGACCACGGCAGCGCCCTCACTTACGCCTGTCCGCCCCAATTCGATCACTACTACAGGTTAGTGATGCTTCAAACCGACGCGACATCCTCTCAAGACAAACTGGGACGTGGAAAAGAGTTATGAAAACTCTCCAGACCTAGGGCTCCAATCTGAACGCTTGGCGAAAACGTCGACGATGGACTCAACGGCCGTGATTGGCTGGCGCCGGGCTTGACCTTGGCGCCGGCCAATCATGGTGGTCGAATCCCTCGCCGACGTTTTCACCAACTGTCCTGATTAGTGCCGCTGCCGGAGAAAGCATGAAGCCTGGTTCAGAAAGTTGTATCGTCTACGCGCAGAACGACGGAAATGACAGAAACAAGGAAGTCACCGGGTCAAGTACTGGCCATGCGCAAAGGCGCAAGCAGTCAAAAGCGAAGCATTCGCAAGTCAGGTTGTTCCGCTGTCCCGGCCGTTGCCCTCGCTTCGGTTGTTCTGCACGCAACCAACGCAAATATGTGAGCCAGCCTTAAAGAAAAAAGGAAAACTGAAGCGGTTCTGTATTTCAGTAAAAACACCTAAATCGTCTTCAGTTTGCCTCCAGGGTCACGAATATCGAGGTTGTTTTTCAAATCGGTGCATGGAGGCAGCAGTAAATTATTTTCAAATTGCCACTGAAGCATATCTTTTCCGGAGCGTTACGTCATTAAAGGGGCGATGCAACAAATTTTGTACTTTGCGTAAATACCGCTTAAAACTGATCTCTGACGTTGATGACCTATGAAACACGCGTTCGTTTTTCACCCCACACAATAGAAGTTCCAGAAAAAAAATTAAAGAACAACGAGCACCGTTCACCCCCTCAACTCGTAACCAGAACAAGCGGCCACGTGATCTGGAGCCGGTTATATGCCGCCAATATTGATCATAGCCACGCAGTGGGTTTGGCAAAGCACAGGACACGCGCTGAGTTCCAGACATTGTTATGGCTCGGCTATTGTCGTCGTTGCAGCGATTGGACACGGGCCACTACCCAAATGCATGTCGAGGCATTGATTGTCACGAGCCCAGATCGAATGCGTACGCAGTCTTCGCGCCCGCTGTGTGAGCAGCATTTGGATATTGTCACCGCAAAGCTCGGTGACGCATTCCCGGGGATCGTACTGTTGCCATTGTCCCCACAGCTCCGCCATCAAATTTCGCGAAGGAGCAAAAGGCGGCTTTGGAAGGAGAGACTGAAAGAAAAGCTCCGCTTTCATCCTTTGAATTCCGCTGCGACAAAGACGCTTCTTGGTCAGTGGCGTTGCCCTCGAGTACTCTTGGGTCCCACTAGTGCCAGGAAGCTGGTGTAAAGTAAGAAATATTCCTACCCAATGTCGTTGCACAGGGGTTATTGGAATTTCCGCTCTCGAGCATCTTCAGGGCCTAACAAAACAAAGCTGTGCATGCATAATCTTGCTATTTTCGAAAAGGTCAGAAAAAGACGTCACGACTGGTGTCAGTGCGAGAGAATATACCTGGCAAGCTCGCAAATGCACGCGCTGCCCACACGAGCAACTCGCGCTTGGCGGCCGAAAGATTTCTTTATGACGTGACGACTGGTAGGAGGGTTTTCGTGTTTTCTCGCGTTTTGTTACAACGTGATATTTAGATTCACGGGAAAAAAATACTCTAAAATTAAAATTAATTTCTAAATCTTTTTTTTTTTTTTTTAATATCATCTTCAACTTCCTCTTCACTACTTCTGAGGTTAAGAATGTCATGAACAAATAATTGTGAAAATTGCAATAATTATTATTTTTCCTCATTGATTCACTGACAAAGAATTCATCAAACAGTCAGCCGTGTTTATAAATACATAGAATGATAAATCATAAATAATATCTAGCTACACTGATTTCAAATAAGTTAATCTGACTTCAATCAAACAATATCGTTTAAATTAAAAAAATTTGGATTTAAATTAAAAATAAAAACATTTATTTCAATCTTTTTCTACCCTGGCTAGAGCAGATCCACCTGATGTGAGGTGTGTGCACTGCATAACACTGCCAACATAAACAAGCGATGGGTTTTTCTTGTCTCTTTCTTGGATTTCAGAGATTACACCGTCAAAACTAATAGTGCGGTGGAAATTGCTCATGCCTATGCAATAAATGTTCGATGCTGGTCAACCTCTTCTCTAAGCAAAATGCGAAAAATAGCTTGGCGCTAACGGTGTTCCACAGTGTACCGCCTACGTGAGAGGACACTAATACCCATGGGCGTACCAGCCGGGAGGGGGGGGGGGGGGGGGGCAAGGGCGCATGCCCCCCAGTTTTCAGAGTAGAAGGGCAAGGCATGTGTTTTCTCCCCCCCCCCCCCCCCCCCCCCCCTCCCCCCGAAACAGCCGCCACTGGGCAAAGCAAACACTGGCTGGCGGCGCCCAAGAGATACCAAGGGCACAGCCTTCGGGCTCTGGAGGGGGGGGGGGGGGGGGGGGGGGCGGTTTGAACTTTCCCCCCCGCCTCCACACTCAAAAACAAGTTGGTACGCCCCTACTAAAACCTTTGTAGCACTTCAGCTATTAAATAATAATGACCATTTTACATAAAAATTCAATTCGAGGTGAGCCTTTCCCCGGGTCTGTCGAAGGACTTGTGAGCTATTCTCTGGAATCGCACAAACGTGGGTGAGCATTTCTCCGCTGAGCTTTTCTCCGTGATTCGTGTTGTGCGCTGTTGTTCCCTCGCGGACTCATACGCTCGTTCCAACGTCGACTGTACCTCGTTCGCACTTTTGCCTCGGTAGTACACTGCGACCTTAAACTCGCCGCAGCATCCATTACGGAGACGAGAAAACAGTTGGTCCTTCTTAGAAGCATGCTTTCGCTGAAGCAGGCGCAAATGTATGATCAGCCAACCTGGGTGCGTCCCGTGTGGCAAAGCACTGGAAGAACAGAAACGTGACGTCACCTATGCATCGCACGCGACTCGGCTGAAAGCTGAACTGGTGGACCATAATTGGACAATGGGGGATTCTTTTGACTTCGCGACTACAACGACCTTTTCGAGGGAGGAGAGATGGAGTCACTGAAAGCTGATAAAATCGTGATTCATCCGAGATGACACATTATCGTGCAACAAGAACAGCGGCACTCTCCCCGAAGCGTACACGGAACTTTCCGGTACATAAAACTGTGTTGAGATAGACCCTTGCGTTGCTGCTGCACTTACTGAAGGTGCGTCCCGCGTGGGAGCCGAAACGTTTAGAGAAATTGCTTTTACTGTTACGTCAAGTCGGTGTCCTTGTTTTTATGAAGAGGTCTCTCGGCTTTTGGAGCATTTTCGAACACAGAAAAAAAAAAAAAAAGTGAATACTACACTGAACGCAGTCTTGCCCACCATCATGGTGGGCAAGACTACGTTCAGTCTTGCGTGTTACGAACAAGCACAGCCGCAATGACCACGCGCAGCGGGAAAAGCGAAAGCGTTAAAAATCAGGTGACCGTTTTCGTGGCTCTCATTGGTCATTGCAGACGCCTACATCCAACGTCGGCACCAGGCGTGCTATTTTTTCTGGCCCGACGAGAAACAGGCGCAGCGACGAAACCGAGCGCATGTGTCCGAAATGACGCCGCGTTGACGTCGACGCGTGCGAATCGCGCACAAAAGCGCTCCATGCTGGTCACGCTTTAGCGTTTACCATGGTTACCATTACATGTGAGGCGCTTCCCAAGGTTCATGCAAACGCGTTTCTTAAAGATCCACAGACTTTCACAAATTAGAAAGTCAATTAACAAATAATACATCTTTTTAGGCGACTGATCGTTACGATTAGCCCCATATACTATGCCCCCTGGACGTATAACTAACCTGCACTAACCGCATAAATGTAGATTTCATTGCTTTGTTCAAACAAATCTGCTAAGCTTAAAAAAAGAAAAACACGCCCGGTATATATGCTGATGGAAATGGTTCCACGGTACTCTGGTAGGTGGCGCCAGTGTGCCAGTGTGTTCTCTTAACGTGGGTACTTACGAGAGATTCTAGATCCAAGAGAGGGAACTACTCAAATTACAGTGAACGTTTGCAATTTAATGGCGGACGCGCAATTTAGTTGCTCTTGAGCATTCGTTAAGGCGTATAGAGGCTCATGATCCAAGCTTGAAACCCTTGCAGGCGATGGACGCTTGTTTCTCGTCTGTCTAATCCTTGCAGCTTGTAGTGCGAAAGACGGCCCATAAAACACGTGACCCCGATTTACCAATTGAGAACACTCCGTAACCTAGGCAGACTAGCGGTTGTAAAATAACTCAACACACACAGCCAAGTGAACCAGCCTTGAGTGCATCCATTTTTCATCTCGTGCTGCTACGATCGCAGGTACGCTCAAAGGCCCATCTTCAAGAGAAGCATCCACGTGAGTCCCACCGCCCGGGTGGATGGCGACCGTATAACTGTCGCGCTCAACCTCGGCATGAAGGACTACTTCACCGACATCAGTCCTCTGGTCCAAGACGTCCTGGACTCCCAGCGTGTCCTTGTCTACTCGGCCCAGATGGACACCGTTCTGCCTGCCGTGAATCTGGACAAGTACTTCCGGTCCCTGAACTGGACAGGAGCCGAACAGTTCAGGGCGGCCTCACGTCAGCGATGGTACTCATCCGGAGAGAATCCGCCGATGTTGGGTTACGTGACAACAGTCAAGGACCTGACGTACGTTCTGTTGATGCGCGCGGGGCACCACGCCTCGTTTGATCAGACGACGACGGTGTACAAAATGATTAAGAGCTTTGTCTCGGACCTCGACTTCTTGACGTCTTACGAGGAATGAACATTAGTAAAATGATTAGAGTACTGTGGTATCGCCTGATTACTTAGCGGGGTGCTTGAAGTATTTCACAAACAAAAATGTAACTGAAAAAAAAAAAGAATTAAATGCGTTTGCTCAACTACTTTTCTAAATCAAGCGGGGCAGCTGAATCAGTGTACAGAACCAAGGACGTCAATTTTCCCCCGAAATTTAGATGGGAAAGTAAATTGGTGTTTAGGTTACAAGAAATCAGGTCACGAGACCTCAATTTCTACCGTAAATTTAGCGGAAAAACGGAATTTAACGAAACAAAATTATTTGGTGTCTAAATCGAGTAACGTTCTCATTTTCCCGACAATATAATGGAAGAAATTGAACTGGTGTTCTGTTCACGTGGCGGTAGTTTTCCCGCTAAATTTAGAGAGGAACCTAGATCGGGGTATAGATCGAGGAGCTTCCCGAAGATCCAGAAGCGCAATGGTGGCCTGGGGAAATAAAAATATTTTTGTAGAACATAAATTGGGCGGTACCTAGCGGCACCTAGCCTATCTACTTGCGTATCGAAAGCAGTTACTCAGTATTTTCGTCGTCAGCACTGCGATGTTAAACGGAGACAACCGATACCCAGTTACTTCGCGCACTTTACGGCTTAGCTGTTCCTCGGGTCACAATTCCTTCGTCAACCGCACATCACGGAGGAATGGTGATCCAATCCGCGAAACCAAAAGCCGCTCTCAAAAGCGCAAACTCGAAGCCGCTGTTTATCACGTAGCGGGAAAGAAGGTTACATCGCTTGCCACCACATGGCAGTGTCAAGCAGAGAAATTGCAAGTAGGTAGGCTAGGTGGCGCTAGGTACCGCCAAATTCATGTTCTATAAAAAATATTTTTATTTCCCCAGGCCACTATTCGCTTCGGGATCTTCGGGAAGCTCTACTATACACACATGGAGACACATTACGCATACTAGAAGCATCAATCAGGTGAACATACATTGAGTGCATACGCGTACATGGCACATACAAAAATCAATACAACGGCACACTAACCCGAACAGCCCGAACACTACACCCGAGTTCTGCGTTTCCGTCTTTTGTACTGGTCGTTTTGAACGTACGGAATTTCTCGGTGACTGCCTTAGCAATAAAAAATATTCCCAGCATGTTAGTTTTTTCCAGCAATGTCATACCTCTGAGAGTATTTTGAATGGCTCAAGGGATGAATCTCTTACTAAAAAGTAAACGCTCGATAATGCCGTAATTATTTGAAAGCCAATAAATCAAGCCGCTCCAATGCGGTTTGAAGCCATGAGTTTGTTTCCCCGCACGCTACGTCGTTGACTGTATTTGTATTGTAGTGTTTGTTTTTCTATTTGTGCTGTTCGCGCATGGCTTTAATTGCCGTCTTGAATTAATCTCTGTACAGCGGATATTCACTCAGCTGAAAGTGTTGCTTCACGTGCGAAGAAATAGCTTTTCGATCAACTTGAATGCAGTCAAAGCCGTGACTTGCGGCAGGTGTTAAATGAACGCAGCTACGCCGTAGCGAACTCGAAAACGTCTAGAGTTCATCCCAGCGCGCCACTTGGAGGGCAGTTTCTCCAGGAACCGTAGTATATTTAAACAGTAAAAGAAAGGATAGCTTTTCTTTTTCTTGATTTTACTTGCTATTCTTCCTTAATGCTATAATTACAAACTGTAAATATACGTACTTTAAGTCATATTTTAGTACTGCTCCGTCCTTTCCCCAGAGCATATTTGCTCTCGGGGAGGAGACAACGGACAGTCACATTGGCCACACTGTACGATAGGAACTTACAGTTCAGACGAGCGTTCCAACATGACTATCCGCACGTCCGATCGATTTCACCTAATTCATCAAGGGGTCTTAAAATTTGTAATGTAAAGCGAAATGTCAACCTCCGACACTTCGCCCCCTCCAATCACGGCCCGACCAGCGGCATCAATGCCCGACAGTTTACGTCATCTCATCTTCTTGTTACATCACTGATACGTGAACACACGGTCACATCGGCGATAATTCCAGTCTTCTGTTCAGAACGCACAACACTGCCATCACGATGTTGCTGATATATTGCTGACACGCAGAAATACTGAACCATGCTGATTGCCGGTTGGCACTCGGCATCGGAAAATAGAACCCAACTGAGCACAGAAGGCACCCAGGCAACCAGCAGCAAAACCTGCCTGTCTTGAACGCAGTTGCTGCTATTTCCATAGCGTCGAAACAGTTCCGCGTGGTTCCGTGTGGGTCCCGCAATCCGGAGGAGGCCATCTTGTCCAGCGTACGTAGCGCTGCTGGCACTGCTCTGGAACTTCGCTGTTTCTAGCGGCTTCGTTGGCTCGTTTGATAAAATTAGTGATAAAAACGTTAATGCAACCAAAATCTTCTGCAAATTTGGACAAGAAGACGAAATTACAGGCGGCCTTCGCTGCCGCTGAAGCTCAATAAACTCAACAACATTTATTAAAGAGCGAAAAACGAAACTTGAGATCAGTCTGGGACGGCGCAAGTTTTCTCCGGTCTGCCTGGAGATGGAGAAAAAACGTTTCCATCCTCCCTTCTTCTCGTGGCCGCTTGGGGGCGCGTCAGTAGAAGGGAGGAAGACGCGCCGTTGCTACCTTTTTCCTCTATTTTTCTTAGAGTGAAGGATTCTGCAAAGTGGTAGTCACGCCAAATTTGTTCGCTGTAGATGACTGTTCTAACGGTCGTCTGAAGACCAGAGGCCAGATTCACGAAACGATCTTACGCCAAAATTGTGCGTAAAACAAAACGTAAGAAGAAATTAATATTCACGATACGAAATTATCGTAAGTTTTGTGCAGGTTACGACAAGGATCCTACGACAGCTCCGAAGCTGTCTTACTCTCGTGGTTCAAACATATCTTTTTTAACGTCGGCTCGCTGCTGCATCTCCGAGGCCGCGAAAAACGCCGCGGCAATTTGTTTCCTTCTACGTCACTTTGAAAACGGCTGACACGGGCCGTCTTTTACCAACGATGACAGTTAACTTCGTAGCGATCGAGTTCGTAGCAGTCAACGGAGGCGGTTACGCATCCCGGCCTCGGCATTGGGGCGTGTTTAAATAGTGTTAGCGTCGACATATCACTGCACGGACACGAACCACAGACAAGCGGTGGTAGAAAGGCCGCCTGTGTTTGTTATTAAAAATCCACGTGCTTCGAACGGCTTCGAACCATGCCGAGCTCTCCGATTGGTTGTTCGTGCTGCCGAAGACGCCGTCGCCATAGCAACAGCACCGGTAAGTTTTAGTTTTTCCGTACGACAACGTCGCTTTCCTCCTCTCACTTAAGAACGCGCTCGTGAATACCGATTTCTCCTCTTATGATGTTTTTAACTTACGAACTTCTTAGCTCAGTTGTCGTAAACTATGAAGCTCTTCGTGAATCTGGCCTCAGTATTCGTTCGGGCGACGCTAGTTTTCACGTGTGGGTTGCTGTTCGTGTTCTTTGACGACGAAAAGAGGGCGTCAGGCTTTGATGAAAACCAAAAATGGTGCTGCTTATTTTCTCCTTCTTGGGCAGCGTCCCTCGCGGAGGAACCGGTTCACGGAACGGCCCGGATCGCTGCCGCTTTCCCCTCAGCATCTCCCCCGCGTCCCCGTCCTTCGGCAAGCGGGCCGCTCGTTGCCGGCTGGGTGGTCTTCGTCCGGTGATGGCGGAGGCCGCCACACACGTACTCCCGTTCTGTTGGTGTTAGGTCACTGAATGGAAGCTCGAACTCGCTCGCGAGAGCGGCATTGCCGTCCATGTTGACAGATTCGACGAAACGACCGCGCCACCGCGCTGCTATAACCGACCGCGGAAACCAGAGTCTCGATCTCCTAAGTACTACCGATACCGACAATTCACACTTGACGTCACTCCTTACGTCACCTCCGTTTTCGCAGGCCCAGAAACGAGAATGGAGATTTTTCAGTTTCGGTTTCTTTACTTCTTTCGTAGGTATAGAAATACGCGTCACAATTGTCTACGAAAAATTGGGCAGCATGCTAAGTTCACAAAAAGTATAAAAGCGCCATTTAAAAAAAATTAAATAAAATCGTCTTGATTGTCAATTTAAGAGAAAGAATAGAGGATGATGTCAAAAGAAAAATAACTACTCGGATGAAAGCTCCAGGCAACGCTGAAGTAATTCCCTTCAACCACTTTTTTTTTTGTTTGCGTGAAGTGCATGACGTTGATCGTGCCTACCTGTTCCAAAAGTGAGATGCCTACTTCTTATTACTCTCTCTCAGACTCTCACGTGTTAAAAGAAGAAAAGTAAGATGAATGGGAAGGTAGCAAAGTGCATCTCATGCTTGCAGCGGACCACGGGAGCTGCGGTGCTAGCACAATGCAGCTTGGAGCACGTTGAGCGCAAGTTTGCGAGGCAAAACCTAAAGATTTAGAATTTACTCCAGACTATTGTCCATTACGATCCGAATGAAGATTATAAACCTTTCCAAAAAAGGGCTCCTTGCCTGTTTGAATTTCAGTGTCCGTGCGTATGGCGCGTGATTTGGTCAATTTCCGAAGCGACGAACATGCGCGTGCTGTGCTTAGGAGATGGCACGCTGGGCTCAGGACTTGTGACTATTGGAATGCTGTATACGGGCGTGCAGTTCTTTGTCACTACTACGTGGTGCATGCTAAATACTTTAGGATAAAGGCTCCTTTACACAGTTGCGCTTGACGACGTTTGACCGCGTGAAGACTGCCTGCGTCGAGCTGCTGCTATGGCGACCCTTACGACGAGTCAATGCGAGGCGCTGTGCTTCCCGACGCAATGCAGCGCGACGTAGTTGACGGAACCGTGTACTGTACTGTACTGGGTATAACTCTCACCTACAGCGTGCACAAGTATTGCCGAGCTATGACAAACCGACCTAACGCAATGGAAACATCTAGCGTCTACTTTGACTTGGCCTTGGTTTCTTTTATCAAACGTCACGGAGGCTATTGCTTCAGGTAACCATAGGACAGTCTAAAAAGCTTTTAA